TTTATAAATTTAACTTTTACTAATACATATTTAAATTTTAACCTGTATTACTCAACCAGGGTTGTCAGATACTGTGGAATTTCTCATTTAAATAATTTAAATTTGGTTTTAACTTTAATATAATTTAAAAAATAAATAAAATATTTTTTAAATTTTCATTTACAAAAATTTTAAACAAAGTTTACAATTGCAATAAATCTACAAAAATTTACAAATTTATAAATATTTAATAAATTTGTAACTGGCCAAAACATTCTTAGATTTTTAGTCTCTCCATCCTCCTTTTCAGCCATTTTGTTCACACATTTTTATTTAAATAGTTTTATTAGAAGAGCTCTTTTATTTGAGTGTAAACAGGCGTGCCCCAGTTGTGGCGTCCCACGACTGCGAGAGATTTTTAGAAGGTGCTCCCAAGGCGCTTCGAAATTTTTTCACATATCCAAAAAATTCAAATTTTAACACGCAAAAATTAAAACAAAAAATTAATCCCGATGTATTAACAACATCCAAATTGGCCACATTATTGAGAAATTAAGAGTCTATATGAAAGGAAGGGCGGCATCCAATTTTTTTCATATTCCTAAAAATATTTATTTTTCTTATATTTTTCTCTCTATTTTTGATTTGTGCCGTAAGGCTATAAACGCAAAAGGATTATTTTTCTTAAAACTTGTGTGAGTGTCCGTGTGTAACCTATGTGTGTCCGTGCTGTCCGTGACTATGTGTGTCCGTGTTGACCGTGACCGATGTGTGTCCATGTGTGTGTGACCGTTACGGACAACCGGACACAAATCGGTCACGGACACACATCAGTCACGGACAACACGGACACACATAGGTCACACACGGACACACACACAAGTTATAAGAAAAATAATAATTCAATTACACATTTCATTTTTTTAATTTTTTTCCGTGACCATATTTTATGGTCATTAAATAACCTATTCAAATCTAGGCGGAAAGGTTTGGATATAAACAGATATTCGGGTTCTCGTGTCTTCGTAAAATGCCATTTAAGGATCAGCTTGTAAGAACAGCCAGAAGGATAGTAGAGAGCGAAACAAAGGCCAATAGAGCTATCTTGTCGAAAACCAAAAATGTGTTGTTTATTTGAAGAATTAGATTCGTCCGGAGCTGGTTCGACCAATTGCAGATTCACCAGAAATCTTAAAGTCCTAAGCAAAGAAATGAATTTAGGCTAAACTGAAAATTATATTTTTAATATTTTTAGACTGGGCGTTACCAGTTTGAGTTAAAACAATTTAAATTAATAAAATAAATAAATTATTTATTAACAAAAAATATTTAAGTGAAAATTTATTTTTTAAAATGAAAAAGAATAATGAGTCATATTAATGTAGAAGAAATCCTTTTTATTATTCTTTTTTCCTTCCCTTTTTGTTAAGGAATTAAAACTTTTCAGAGCGGTGTAATAGCGGCTAAACGGAACCTCTAACTCGAGCGGTTCTCTCCCCGATCGGAGAGTGCGTTCCTTTATCTTTATTACACCGCTTCTTTCTCACAACATTTTACAAACAAAGAGGAGAAGGAGAAAAAGAACAAAGTTTACGGATTTCAATTAACATTAATATTGATGGGAAATATTAAAAGCGAAAACTGCAAATAAAATTAAAATAAATTATGACAATTGAAATGTTGAGTCTTGGAAATTCGGGTCCGGTTGGTCGCTCGGGGCCGTGAACATATTGAACATATTGAGATCCTACTAATAAAAAATAATTAGAAAATAACTGAAAATAACTGTCGAGGCGAGCCACGACAGACTCCCTGTCAAAAACTTTTTTGTTCCCTCAACTACTCTTCTTCAAATTTTCCCTTCTTTTTTCGTCCCCTCGATCGGGGTTACTTCTGAGATAGTATCGTTTTCGTCTTTCTGTTGTCTTTTTGTTGTTTTCATTAGTTTTATTCCTTTTATTTAACTCTTCTGTTCGTGCTACGTCGTTTTCGTGTGGATCTTCTTCATTTTCCAGTTCGAGAGGGTAGAGGACTGAAGTGGCTCTTTCATAACTTTTTCCACCCGTCCTCACTTTTACCGTTCTTCCTGAGAGGATTTCTTCTATTTTAGCCATCTTCCACAACGATCGTGGGCATTTTTCGTGACCTTCATTCATGAGTACGACCTGATTTAATTTGGGGAAGGTGGGGTCTTTATCTTTGGAACGCCATTTTTCCCTTAAACTCAAAAGGTTTTCGGATTTCCAGGTTTCCCAAAACTTATGGCTTTTTTGCAATGCTTTCTTGTGGGCCTCCAACAATGCACTTCTGGTCGACGGTTGTTCTTCATAGTCGTTGTCCCAGTCCGGTTCCGGACTCAAGTGCACGTCGAAGGGATTGCCTGCTGAGCAATCTAAAATGTCAATGGGTCTTAAAGGGTATGCTACTTCTTCTGAAGTATAATAGGTTAGGGGTCTTTCATTCACGATTCTCTCGACTTCGATCAGGAGAGTTTCTAATTCTTCGTGCGTTAATTTTCTTTTTCCTATAGTCCGATACAAGTGTTTTTTAATGGTTCCGATCAACCGTTCATAGAAGCCTCCTCTCCAAGGAGCGGCTGGCGTGTTGAATTTCCATTGTATCTTATTCAGTAAAAGAAAGTCTTGTATTCGAGTACTTGCTATTACTTTTAGCCATTCCTTCTTTTGATTAATTTCTTCTTGGTTCAGGTCTTGAATCACTTTACTAGCCAACACGAACGTTGGAGCATTGTCGGAAATTATTACCTTCGGAGGCCTTCTTCTTCGAATTAATCGAGTTAGGGCCAGAAGGAATTTTTCACTGGTGCAGTCCGTTACGACTTCTAGGTGTACTGCTCTGGTTAGAGCACACGTAAAGATCGCTCCCCAGCATTTTATTTCTTCTTCGCCTTGTAAGACTCGAAAGGGTCCAAAGTAGTCAAGCCCTACTGCTTGAAATGCGGCCCTTCCTGCTGTCCGACTTGTAGGCAAATCGGGTGCTTTGGGGAGTGTAAACGGCTTTGCTTGCCATCGAGCGCAAGCTCCACACCTCATAGCTCCTTTTGCCCTTAGCCAATTATTGATTGTTCGTCGGCTTCTCGTTATCCAATATTCTTGCCTGAGGTAGGTGTTCATTAATTCTAAACCTCCATGCTTGGTGTTCGAACGGGCTCTTCTTAAAAGAAGTCGAACTATAGGTGCTCGATGATTGATGTAGATAGGGTTATTGGCCTGGAAATTGAGTCCGCTGTTCGCTAATCTACCTTTCGCTCTAAGTAATTGATCTTCGTCTTGAATGATGTTCAGATTCCTAGTTTCTTCTTCAGTCGGAGGGTAATGCTTTTGTATCCATCTTAGAATAAATTTTTCCGCTTCCGATACTTCAGGGACAGTTAGGGATTCGATCTCCCTGTTTTCTTTTCTCCGCACGAGCGCGGAGGCGGCTTTGCGTCCTTTTTTCTTAAAGGCTTCGTTCGCTCTTAGAACGTAAGCCATACAATTGACCAGCCGATTCCAATTTGAGAATCGCGTAAAGTCAATCAAGAATTTGTCTTGCGTCTCGGGTAGTTGTTTTTGCGTCGCTGCGAGGCTCATTTCAAACAAGGGGTTTTCTTCTTTTGGTTCCCTTTTTGCGGACGGATCGTATTTTCGCTTTGGTTCAGGCCATTTTGCTTCAGGTTGTCGTAAGAACGTCGGGCCTTTCCACCATAAGTTATGTGACGCAAGTTCTTCTGGCGTAGCTCCTCGCGAGGCGAGGTCAGCCGGATTATTTTCTCCGTCAACATGCCTTATTTCGTAGTCTCGAATTTTGTTTACCCTATTTTTAATAAATCTATCTTGCTTCTTTTCACTCAGGGCATAGTCGATAACGTCGATTGCGTCTGTCCATAATATAGTTCTTTCAATGGGATATTCCTTTTCCAACTGTTCACGAACGAACTTGGCGTATTTTGTTCCTAACATCGCTGCATGCAACTCCAGACAAGGTATGGTCCTTCTTGTCGAGGGCAGTGAGGTAGGTACTACTAGGCTTTTCCCAAATATTAAATTGCAATCGAATGGATCGTCCTCGACTCTCAGATAAATAGCTGCGCCGAATGCGGAACTTGATGCATCAGTGAAGACGTGTAGTTCTGCTTTTAAATTTTTGACCTTCGAGCAGGCCAGTCGCGGAACTGTTAAATGCGCGCCTTCCCAATGCTTCATAAGCTCCTTCCATTTTTCGGTCATTGCAGGGGATAGGTCTTTGTCCCAACTTAATTTTCCTTCTCGTTCAATCTCTTGTCGGAGTAATTTCGCTGGCAGAATGGCTGGCGCTCCGAATCCGAGAAGGTCAAAAGGTCTGGCGATTTGCGCTAATACCTTTCGTCTGGTTACCTTTTCTTCTTTATAAGTCGGGAATTTAATTTGGAACTCGTCTTTGTTTATGTTCCATCTTAATCCAAGGAGTTTACAATCTTCTTTATCAATGATATCTTCTTTGGGTAGCTTCTTTATTTCTTCTGGGGCGTTGGCGATGAATTCACGGACATTCATCCCTCCCTTTTCAAAAAGTTTTTTGATTTCGGAATATGTGTTTCGTATTTCGTCTTTGTTATTTAGTCCAACCACTAAGTTGTCCACATATGCGTTGGTTGCGATGCTTCTACTTAATGGGCTGTCGTATTTTTTCAAGTGGATGTCAATTGTTAATGCAAGATGTGCTGGCGAACAAATGACTCCAAATGTTTCTCTTGTAAATCGATACTCCACGATCGGAGTTTTTGGATTTTTTGGGTCTTGAGCCCATAAAAATCTTACAGCGTTTCTGTCTTGCGGTGCTAGTTCAATCATATGAAATGCTTTTGCTATATCACATGTGACTAAAATTGTTTTCAGTCTCGCTCTGAGAAGGATGCCAGCCAAATCGTTATACAATTTGGGTCCTTTCTCAAGACATTGATTCAGTGATGGAGCATTTCCTCTTTTGGCTGCTGCGTTGTAGACGATTCGAACCTTCGTATGTTCTTTGTCATGTCTAAATACCGGGTGGTGTGGAAGATAGTGAATTTTTCTTCCTACTGTGTACTTGTCTTCTATTGGGTCCGCTAATTCAATTAGACCTTTTTCTAATTGTTCCGTAATTATTTGATGATACATTTCTAATAGTTCAGGTGTTTTTCGAAGCCTTGTTAAATTAGACAGTAGTTGACTGAATGCCATGTCATAATTTGTTGGGAGTTTCTTGGCAGTTTCTTCATTCCATAATAGTTCTGTCTGATATCTACTTCCATTGAATGTTATTTTTTCTTTCATTCTTTCAAAGTCGCTTTCTATATTACTGTCTTCAAGCCCGATCGCTTGGATTCCGTCATGCTTCTTTAATAATGCTAACAATTCTTCATCGGTTGGTGCGGCTTCCATTGTCATCACTTCGTTTACTGTTGCTTGTGAATAATATTCTTCGTTCATTTTTATTGAGGGATTTATTTTTATTTTGCCTTCACCATTTATTATTTGTCCTAATTTTGTTTTGCTTATCCATAAACGAGAGGGTAGTTGTTCCTTAGGTTTGACTTCTAATCTATTATAATAATCATTCCCAATTAATATTTGTGGTTTCCCTATTTTTTCATTTATTTCGAGTTTCGTTTTTCGTAATGCTTCTTCGTTTACATCCTTCTTTAAAAATATTCTGGTTCGACCTAGAATGCTTGGAAGGGTGCTTCCTTTTAGAAGAATGTCGAATTTTCCAGCTCGAACGCCGAATTCGACAATCGGTTTTATGAATTGTCCTAAGGGTGTTTGGTTTAGGCCTGTGACTTTTATTTCTTTTTCTTCTATTGTTTCAAGTTCTAATTGTTGGGATAGTTCTTCATCAATATATGTCTTTTGACTTCCGTCGTCTAAGAATATTAATGCTTCTTGTTCAAGCTTTGGCACTGTTGGATTATATACCTTCGCTTCTACCATTTTTAATACAGAGAATTTAGAATTCTTGTCGGTTAGACAGCTTGGTTTTGGTTCTACAGTACAGCTTACTTGAAGGCTAGAAGAATTAATTGTTTCCTCTTCTTCTGTTGTGAATGTTTTTTGTTCCTGCCTTGTAGGGCTTTTCGAATAAAATCTTTTTTGGTGTCGGCATAGTGCTTGGTTGTGGTTGCTTCTATTGCAAATAGGACATAATACTTTAGGCTTCATACATTTATTCGCATAGTGTCCTCTTTTTAAACATCTAAAGCATAATTCTTTTTTCATCGCTCGATCGCGACGTTCATTCGCTGTTCTGTATTTTGTACAGTGTATTGGGGGGTGTAGTTGTTCACATAATTCACATGGATACCTAATTGGACTCTTTGAACTGTGTTCTGACGAGCTGCTGTTAGAGCGTGCCTTATATGGTGATCCGTTTCTAAATTTACTTCGTTCTTGTTTTGGACTTTGACTTTGGTCTTCATTTCTTCTTTGTCCTTGAAATGGTCGGGTTTCTGTCCGGATGGTGTTTTGTCTTTGATTCCACCTTCGATCAGGTGACCTATAATTTGGACTTGTGTTTACCCTTCCTAAAAAATTCATTGTCGGTTCTTGTGTGCGGGTATTGGGTTTTGACCTTCTTGCTATATTTCGTGCTTCGTGTCTTCCTTTTATTTGATTAATTGCTCTTCCAAAAGCTTTTCGAAATTTATCTGTGTTCCAATTATTATCGTCTTCAGCATCCTTTATTGTAAAATATTTATCGAGTACCTCTGCAGATAATTTGCCTTCAATCATCATATAATATGGTGCTTGACCAATATTCTGATTTAGGGCTGTTAACTGTCTGCAAATTTTTTCGATTCTTAAATACAATTTTTCATCATCTTCATAATCATTACTATTTGGAAGGTTCATTAATTCTTTATTTAAGTCTCTAATTTGCTTTTGATCATCTCCATAATTTTTTACTAACAGCTCGATCGCCGTTTCGTAACCCGTTTCATCCATTTTTAGTCCTTCAATTAGTGTTTTTGCATCACCTTCTAATACTGATTCAAGTGCGTTGAATTTTTCAACAAAAGGCATAGATGGATCTTCATGAATTAAGGTTCTGAATGTTTCCCAGAAATTAAACCAAGATTCAATGTCTCCGTTAAATTTTCGGAGCTGAATCTGGGTTCTGAAACTTCTCCGGGGTTGCTCAGAATTGTTTGTCGTTGATAGTGTAGCATCAGGATCTTCTAATTTCAATCTTTGATTTATACCTTCTATGTGGTCGTCCCATTCTTTGATTCTAGCAGAAGCTGCGTTCATTATACGTCTGAAGTCTGCTGCGTGTTTGTTGAATGCTGCTGAACGGGTTTCATGAACATTTCCCGTAGATTGGGCAATTTGCTGAGACGCATTAAACATTTGATTCCTCATATTTTCATTTTCATCTACCAATTTCTCTTTTTTCTTTTTGGCCCAGTATAACTCTCGCCGCAAATCGGTAGGAGTGGCATTTATTCCGAGGGGAGGGGGTATTGGCGTTTCTATGTGGATCATTAATAAATCCACAGAGATGTGGATCATTGTTATGGTGCAGTCCATCTTTTTATGTTGAGGGTTTAGCCTGTATAATCAATCAGCACGAACGCCGAGAATTTAATTTAATTTTTTCAAAAAAAATTTCCAAAAAAAATTTGATTTAAATTAATTTAGAATTAAAATTTAAATAAAATTTCAAAAAAATTTTTCCAAAAAATTATTTAGTTTTTAGTTTATTTTTAACTTTTTTCTTTAATTATTTTTTAGTACCTTTACCACCACAGCAATTTTAGAATCCAAAAATTTTCCAACAAATTCTTTCCAACAAAAATTTCCAACAAAAATTTTTTGACCAACTTCCAACAAGAGTTTTGGTTGAGAATCTCTGAAATATCAGAAATTTTATTTTTTGTATAAAAAAAATTTTTAATACATTTTTGATTGTACCAAGTTGTTTTTGTTGTCTTCTTTTACTTCTTCAATTTTCAAACAGCACGATCGCTGTAGTATTCCTGGTTTTGATAAAAAAAATTTTTAAACTTTTTTCTTAATTTTAATTTTATTTTAGAATTTTTTCGAAAAAAATTTATTTAATTTTAGAAAATTTTTAGAATTTTTATTTAATTAAAAATTTCAAATTTCACCAAATTTTTCTTCACTGACTTACAAATTTCTGGCTCCAAGGCTCGCCACTTGTCGAAAACCAAAAATGTGTTGTTTATTTGAAGAATTAGATTCGTCCGGAGCTGGTTCGACCAATTGCAGATTCACCAGAAATCTTAAAGTCCTAAGCAAAGAAATAAATTTAGGCTAAACTGAAAATTATATTTTTAATATTTTTAGACTGGGCGTTACCAGTTTGAGTTAAAACAATTTAAATTAATAAAATAAATAAATTATTTATTAACAAAAAATGTTTAAGTGAAAATTTATTTTTTAAAATGAAAAAGAATAATGAGTCATATTAATGTAGAAGAAATCCTTTTTATTATTCTTTTTTCCTTCCCTTTTTGTTAAGGAATTAAAACTTTTCAGAGCGGTGTAATAGCGGCTAAACGGAACCTCTACCTCGAGCGGTTCTCTCCCCGATCGGAGAGTGCGTTCCTTTATCTTTATTACACCGCTTCTTTCTCACAACATTTTACAAACAAAGAGGAGAAGGAGAAAAAGAACAAAGTTTACGGATTTCAATTAACATTAATATTGATGGGAAATATTAAAAGCGAAAACTGCAAATAAAATTAAAATAAATTATGACAATTGAAATGTTGAGTCTTGGAAATTCGGGTCCGGTTGGTCGCTCGGGGCCGTGAACATATTGAACATATTGAGATCCTACTAATAAAAAATAATTAGAAAATAACTGAAAATAACTGTCGAGGCGAGCCTCGACATATCTCACAGAGTTCCACCGTAGGTGTAGAAGTAGTAGTAGGGGTAGAGGCCGTTTAGAAGCTTTGGGAGAGTTACTTGTGCCTTTTGGATTTGTGCTGATGTTCGCAAAAATTTTTAGGTACTAAATTAAAATAGAACCAAGTTAAGATCTCAAATTATTACTTATTTTGTCAAATAATGTTTCACAAAATTTTTAATTAATTTATTTATGAAGAACAAACAAAAAGCAAATAATAAATTATTAAAACAAGGAATGTATTATTAAGATATACTACATTAGTTATTTTATCTTGTAAGAATGCTCCATATAATGTAAAATCCTTTGTTCAATTGTTAGCTCGGAGATTTATTCTTTGCGATTTTTTCTTAGTTTTACTTTTTATAAAAGCGGTGCATCTTTCGAAATTTTATTTCTTTACAATAAATTAAGATGCCCTTTAATAGTTCGACTTTTCTCACTGTCATATGTCAATTCCTCTCTTAAATTCGATTAAGCTTTAAACAAACTACAAAATATTTAATTATTGCCCTTTTAAATTATTTTTTAAAAGGCTATATAGAGAAAAAATCACGAGAATAAATGCCCTTTAAAATTTTTTTAAAGGGCGGCCATGCCTTAGGTGTTTAAAAACTTTCCTTATAAATTGACTTCGAATTAGCCTTTAAATTTTATAGTCTTTAAGATAATATTTAAATTTATATTAAAAATATTTCTTTCAAATCACTCGAAAAAGTAGAAAATTTTAAAAAAAAACTTCAAAATGCATTGACCTTTGTGGCTTCATTTGCCTTACTCCTATTAGATGTAGAGGCAAAGAATGCCAAATTTTTCAAGATATGAGTCTTTTTTATAACTGCTTGTAAAAAATTTTTTATTTTAGAAAATTTTCTTTGTTTGCCGACATTTTAATAAATAAATGAGAGTTATTGCTTATTCAAACTTTTTATTTAGAAAAAAATGATTTCGACAAAAATTAAACTTTTTGTCAATTTAATTTTTTTGTTTTTTTCTTACTCATTAGAAAATATTCAAACACATCAACGTGTTATTTTCGAAAAGAATTCTGAAAATTTAGTTGGAGATATTAATGTAAAGAAAATTGAAATAAACAAAACAAATGAGAATACAACAGAAAAAACATTGGAAATAATTATTGAATTTGGGGCTTTAAACAAAAAGCATAAATTATTTATAAGAGATAAAGAATACTATACTTGTGGCCTTTTAAATTTAGAATTTAAAGAAAAAATATATAAAGTCGAGAATTTGACAAACGAGAAAAAAGAAATTCATTTTATTGAAAAATTCGAAAATATTTACAGAAGAGATTTTAGTATTTGTTTGAAATTGGATGGAGTATATTATGTAAATTAATTTTATTTTAAATTTTAATCAAGAATCTGAAAATCAAGAATATAAAAACAATTTGGGCTGGGGGTTCGAACTTTTTTTTTAAAATGTGGCATTTAAATGTCTGTAATTTAGTCTATGTCCACAGAGTACGTTTCTCCCACAGGGCGTTTCTCCCAGAACAAACGCCGTCTTAGAGTTGAAAAAAAATATTTTGGAAAAACTAGGTGGCCAACCATTTTTGATGCAGAGCGTATGTCCCCTTTATGGTGTTTCAATTTTTGTTCTGCGAGTTTCTGTTTCCTTGAAAAAAGAATTACATATTCGAACTAAGTCCGGCAAGAGGAATCGAATGGTATATATTTCAAATCTATATTCGTGCTCCCTCGTACTATAGCATGTTTTATACAGGAACTGCTCAGTATTCAACCACTATTTTATGCCAACCTAAATTTCGAACCAGTAATTGAAAACGGCAATAACGAGAATGCAATTAGTAGCCGTAATGAGAATGCAATTCTTACCAAAATTAAATGGTCATTAAATTTTGAAGAATGGAATTATATTGAAATTTGTGCGGAATACAAAGAAAAGGGCAACTATATCATACTCATTTATGTACAAGCCGATGGCATTGTATCACCCGATGATGTCCAAGCCATCCAAATTTTTGTAAAAGTTGCTGATAAACTTAAAAAATGTGTTTCGACTAAATTTAATATTGAGTCAGAAGAAGACAAAAAAGCACTCGGTAAATTAAAGAAAGGTGTAAAATTTATGTTTGTTAAGACTTCTAAGAAGTTAAATGATGGAGATATGATAAAGGACGAAAATAATTTTTTCGCTTTGGTTAAACCATTTTTTGGGGAATATTCTCTTGAATTAATCGGATGTTTGCATGAAATTTACCCTTTATTTGATGATGGAGAAATAATTGAAAATAGAAATCCTTTTAATAAAAACGTAATAGAATATTTTAAGCAAAGAGAAATACACAATTCTTCTAAAAATATTTTATTTAATAAAATCTGGCACAAATGGTTTTTTTATGATAGAAAATATTTTAAGATGGGGGAAAATGGGAAAGCTGTATTCATAAAAAGAAATATATTCATCAACCAAATTGTGACAACTCAGTTCAATCATGTCGAGAGTTAGTTATATATTTACAGTAACACAAACTTTAATATTGAATTTTCCATTTCCGTTAATTCAAAAAAAATCAAGTTTAGAAAATGAGTCTAATGAACTTTTATAAATCAAATGAGCGCTTAAGGCCCCTTGAGAGTATATATGTACCAAAAATTCTATAAGCGTCCCATCATAAGCACTATATTTACGAGGCAAAATTAGTTAAATAAAGCTGCTCCATTTATAAATATTAAATATATATAAACGCAAAAGGATCATTTTTCTTACAACTTGTGTGAGTGTCCGTGTGTAACCTATGTGTGTCCGTGCTGTCCGTGACTATGTGTGTCCGTGTTGACCGTGACCGATGTGTGTCCATGTGTGTGTGACCGTTACGGACAACCGGACACAAATCGGTCACGGACACACATCAGTCACGGACAACACGGACACACATAGGTCACACACGGACACACACACAAGTTATAAGAAAAATAATAATTCAATTACACATTTCATTTTTTTAATTTTTTTTCCATGACCATATTTTATAATCATTAAATAACCTATTCAAATCTAGGCGGAAAGGTTTGGATATAAACAGATATTCGGGTTCTCGTGTCTT